CCCCCCCCCCCCCCCCCTACAGGCTCACTTTAATATGAAAAGTTTTGCACGAGGACTGGTTTGATACACAGCCACAATGTTACTGCGGAAATGATGCGTTTTCGTACTGAAAATGCATGGAAGCTTCACGTCCGCACTACCGTTTTCGAAGTGTTTCCTCTTCTGCACTAACACACTGATACGTTGTGAGAAAATACCACAACCATCATTTGCTAGCGTTTTCCAAAGGCTCCCTTTTCAAAAGTCTTTACTCTGGACGGCGTTTGAATATGTATGCATTTTAGATGAAAAAGATGAGCGTTTTCGATCTTTTTAGTGTGGAGGGTGGGCGAAATCCCATCAAAAAATGTGCGCTTTAAAGGTGAAAACGCATTAGGGTGGACGGGTCTTCAGAAAAGGAGTTTCACCAAGCAGTTTGCCCAAGCACAAGATCGTGCCTGTTTGTTGCTATGTAGCTGGTCATGAAAACAACAGATCGATAACAAAGGAAAAACCTAAAGGGGTTAAGATTGCCGGAGAAAGATTGAAATGGGTTTGGGCGCCGGCCATGTTTATCTACCTTCGAAAATGAATGGTCAGGGAACATTTTTGTCATTTTATTTATTTATTTTTTTGTCTATATTTTATGTCGTCCGTTCAGGCCTATCACCCGGCTCAAATCCCACCAGTAATGCAAGACAACGCAAGTTTCACTGAGCGAAACTCGATAGACAGGAGCAGTCCGGGTCTAACACAACAACAACAACAACAACAACCACAGCAGCAACAACAACAACAACAACCACAACAACAGCAGCCCATCCCTCTACACCAGGCCCCACCGTTTGTGCCTAATCAGCATCATCCCACGTGGCGGGCAGCGCGGTCGATGACAGGGTACCAGGGCAAGAATATACACATGGGCGGGTACAATTCACAGGTGCCAAACCAGCAGACGCCTCGCGGTCCCATGCAGCAAGGGGCCAGCAACTCTAAACCGCATTACAAAAACAAAAAATATCAAAAACATCGCAACGACCAGTTCCTGTACGGCGCGCAGTCTCAGCACGCCCAGAATCAAGGCGCGCCCGTGCACAGCGCACACGCGTATCCAAACGCCTCCCAGCCCACTGGATCGTCTTCTAACGCGTTTTTTATGACCGGCAGCGAGCACGCTGCTGGGAAAGGGTCTGGGGACTACTACCATGGCAACCAGCAATTTGTGAACTTTCATGGAAACGTGTCATCGAGCATGACGCAAGCTCCGCACTCCGCTGCCAACTCGCGGGGACAGTATCCGTAAAATGGATGGATATTTTAATGACTCGAGTAAAGTCCATTGTTTTGGACAAGGAATGACTTGCGATGGTAGCTGCAAAGCTAAAGGAATCGATTTGAAATAGAAGTAACCGAGTACCTTGGACAGTTAAGCACAGAAAAAACAAGCTAACAAAATCTTCGACATTTTTGAGGCAATTCGGATGCAATGCTAACGCAACGTGCTTGCCATGTTGGTGCAAAATGCTGCTGCTTTGTGGGTGCCAAATAGGGTGGCTAAATCCATGCAAAATATGGTTCCTATATTGGCACAATATGGCGGCTGTATTGGTGCAGTGTATGCAAAGTACAGCTCTAGTATTGGCGCAGTATGGCTGCTTTACTGTCCAAGATACTCGATGTTTTTGTTATGTTAAAGCGTGATGTTCTTGTAGTAATAGTAGTGTTCTGTGTCAGGAACTAGCTAAATTAAAATGTGACGTGACTTAGTAATGCGTCGTCGTCGTTGTTTTTTCGCCCGTCTCTATCGTGCTATTGTCCAACCTGGTTCCCAGGGTCTTTCTGAGAAAAAGAGAGACCCTGGGAACGAGGTTGGCTTTCGTGGGGATTTTCTTCTGTGTCTTTTGTCCTCAGTCTCTGGCCTTGCTCACGGAGTTTGCTTATTTCCAGAATATCCAGAAAGAGTCCCATTAACGTAGGTACTGATTCTAAGGCCGTTTCTCTTAGGAAGTCTTTCCGAATGTGTTTTTCTAAAGGATTTTTTCGGATTTGCATGGGCCTGTTTCATTTTAAAGGCAAAAGAGAACGTTGGTGACTATACATATTGTTTCAGCTCTTCCTCTGGATAATCCATTGTAACTAGCTACCAGCAGCTGGTCAGGCTGAGGTACTGTGACAGTCTTGCCCTACCCTGGGTACCAGAGGTTTTTTCTCGCGCGCGGCGGACGGAAATACTTCGCTTCGCTTCGGCGGTCGAATGACCGACACCGAAAACCGCGCAAGAGAAACCTCTGACACCCAGGGTAGTCTTGCCGAAAACACAACTCAGAATCCCGGTGAAAACGTCACAGTGGTTATTCTCTGAGGAACATGTATTTAAGAGATGGTGCACGTCATGTTATACAATACCGCACTCGCAACTAGTCCCAAATATGGCCCTCTCTTTCACGCAACACTATGCTCTTGGAAGAAAGACACCCTCCTTCACGAGAACGCAGCGTGGCAGAGACAGTGAGCCAGAATTGAACTACGGCTGACTACGGCCTCTGTAGTATGAACAGCATCCTGTATGTGATGCTGGCCCCAGTTGTTCAAGGTAAGGACAACGCTATCCAGGGGATAAATGGCTATTCACTGCCCGGACAACGAAGTTTGTTTTCTTGACACTTATCCACCGGATAGCCAGTTTACGGACGGTTGGCGTTATTCACTAGCCCCGGTTGTATCTTGGGGTCTTCCCAGGCGTTAGGGTCTTCCCAAGTCCCCAGCGCTACTCATACAACTGAGTAGAGTAATGGGGCGTCGTTAGAGCACTCGCCTCGCACCAATGTGGCCTGGGTTCGAATCCCGGCCCCCGCGTCATAAGTGGGTTGAGTTTGTTGTTGGTTCTGGCCTTGCTCCGAGCATTTTGTGCGCGTTTTCCGGTTTTCCTCCCTCCTCAAAAACCAACACTTCTAAATTCCGACTCGATCTGGAAACAGTTGAGGAAGAGCCTTCCCGTGGGATGTGAAACTTCAAATTCCTATTTATTTTATTTCTTTATTTTTTTAAAGAGTATTACCCAAGAAGGCATCAGACGATGCCTGAATTTGAATCTAGTAGCCCTTTGTACGTTTAACGGTTCTCATTTGCATTGCAGTGTAATCCAGCATGTATATTTCGGGCAAATGAGAAAAGCTAGCAAGACGTACTGGGTTTCAATAGCAAATCTAGAACCCAGATCTCCCACGTCAAACAGAATTCGAATGAGAACTGGTACGAGGTTAGGTTCCAGCCTTGTTACTTTCTTCCATTTCCGGCTAACAGATTGTCATTCTTCCGTTCAAACTGATCGCAAACGATGCTTGTTGACAATGTCTTAGTTGTTGTAAGGGTTTCTTGAAATAATGTTTAGCTGTTTTTTAATCACAATTGTATCGAGAAATGAGTGGGATAGTTACCTTGCTCTGATGGAAAATTTGCACCGTGTAACCTAAATGTACATAACCTGCAATCAAGCGTTATTTTTTATTTCCCTTCCCCCGAAAAACACAGAACGAAATCGCAAGTTGAAATGTACGTGGCTGATGAAAACAACAAACAAAATAAAATAAGAAAATCCAATAAAGAAGTTTATCGTCGGGGTTTTTAAAATTCCCTTTGATTTTTTCGGCTTATTCAAGTTCAATTAATCAGTTACTTAAGTTAAAGAAAACATATTTGAAGAATGATTTCCAACGAAGTTTTGTCAAAATGTGTTTGTCGACTCATATGTGAGCTAGATTCGACGGCTCCTCAATCGATTTTACTTTCTTTTATTGATTTCGAGCATCAGAAATAATTACCTTTGACTTAAACTGGGGATTAATAAATTGCGCGTAAGATAAACAGAGCCTCTGGCGCCCAGAATGGTTCCATAGATGGAAGAAACGAGTGCTTTTTCAATATACTTACTTTATGAAATGACTGCGACTCAATTTGATGCAAGAAATTAATACGTTGGGAAAAATGTTAATGCCTGAAACTATTTTAACTATTATTGAAAGTTAACATTAGCCTCAGAACGAGTATTTGGTCGATTTTTTTTGGAAAATCATTATTCAGTCATCGAAAAAATTTCACCAACAGGCACTTTGATGTATTTGATTTCTCCGGCCTATTGTAAGACATAATGAAGAGTATTGAAATAAAAGAAAAACGAGATATAATGCATTGTGCACGGGCTTTTTGAATGAAGTCTGAGAGGGACTAACTTATACAATGTATGGTTAATGCTAATTGTATCAAAATGTATCATGGATGTGTGAATTGGCATTAATCAAGTCACAGTGCGGTGAACCCTTTGACAGAATAATAGCTTCTGGTATTTATCTGAAAATCCAATAAATAAATTAGGAATTTTTTTTCAATATTCTATTCTCTAAGCTAGCCATATATTCTGCCAAGTTGGCGGCAAATTAGAGGCCAATTCATTTAGCTCAACACACTGGGGATAATCTCCGAGTTCAGTTGCAAGCGGGCGACTTTTGACAAGGATAAAGGTGATATGGGCATATTTTGTCAATGATTGAAATCTAGGACACGAAAATAAACTGAGCAAAGTTGGCAATCCCATCAACATCTTCGTTTGCTAAAAATATCACTACAAAACTCCTTCGCAAATGCATAATTTAGTTCTACATTTAATGTAAATAAATGTCCTACTTTTCCGTAAGATAAACATTTGCTGACGAAGCTAATCTATTACAGAAATAATTCCTTTTAATGTTAACTCTATGTTGTTGAAGTTCGCACGCTGTAGGCAAAGAGCAAACTGCAAACTGGTAGGACACACGTTGCAAACATTTTGGCTCAAAAAAAAAATTATCTTTGTAAAGCTAAACAAGAGTATTATTTACAGAAATATGTGCAATATTTTTTTTCCAATCTTCTCGTTACTGTTTGTATGTATCGCATACACGCAGATACATTTTGCGTGTATTTTGCCCTAAAAATGCGTAAATGCTTTCGCAAAAAATCATCCACAAACCCAGTTGGAGAATAAAAAGTTGCAAGCAGATGTTTTCCATTCTTTTGTATAAAACAAATTTACACAGCGTGGCTTTCCAAAACTCAAACTTCACTATGGTTTTTATATCCAGCCATGCAAGAGCCACCGAGTCACGTAAGCAAAACAACCAAAAAAATGGTCAATTTGTTTGATTTTTTTTTATGTGTAACATAAGCACTTACGTATTCTTGTGCCCGCACTGTATGTTTTTTTTCTTTCCTTATCTTGATTTCATGAAGACACCCCCGTTATTGGAGTTGTTAATACGAGGTAGATAAGTTTTGCGTTGAATTTTCGTGTTCTCCACAGACTGGCTTAGTGCTTCCAGTTCGTTGCCATTTTGGTCTTCCGAGCCACACTTGGCTGAAGGAATGAATTCGCTTGATATTATGGGTAGTTTGAATGTTTCTTCGTCTTCTTGCATTTCTAAATCTGTTGTTACAGTCCCAGCAACTCTCTTCCGCGACTTTGACCCGCTTCTTTTAGTTTTGTGATGCCTGCGGAAAAGTCCATCCTTTTTGCTTTCTGATGAAGGGGAGTAAAATTCTGGCATGCTCGAGCTTCTTCGTGTCGGATGGTGCTCGCTGAGTGAGTTCTGTTCTATCCCCGCAGATTCATTCGCTGGAAAACCCTTCCACGGCTTCTCTTTTTGCTCCGTTCGGGAATGGCTTCCTTTATTAGATTTGACAAACTGCATATCTGTCGCTGCAGCCACTCCTTTCCAAAGTCCAGTATGAGTCGCCTCAATAACCGGTAAAGAAGAACTCCGCTTTCGATGTCTCTTAATTTTCCCGGCATTTTTTGTCGTGATGGGGAAAAGATCGTCATTGCTTTCATTATCACTTTGTGAGCCATCATTAGCGTAATTGTCCAATGCTCTATCCTCTATTTTCGCCATCAGGACCAATGATCATAAATTAACGTCAAATACTAATTTTTCTTGATACTTCGTGGCGGCCTGTCAGACAACTTGTAGTAAATCTCTCAAGGCAGATTAGCCCCAAAAACTAACGCGGGGAGATCTAAAGCTAGAATTTGTTAACATAAGCCCTACATTGAAACTCACATGTTTACAAACTTCCGTCGATATAGCGATTTCAATTAACCTCGCGAGACGATGAAATTAAATACAGTAATTTTGTTGACTGGCGCCGAAAAATCAACGTTTTCTTGTTCGAGTGGCGAGGTTTGACCTCACAACCGCTTGATGAAAGTTGCCCAAAATAACGTTTTGTGGCTTGTTTAAAATGCAAAGTATTATATACCGTTTTCAAGAGAAAATACGAGATAATCACATTATTTGTTGTCGTCTTCTGGTCTTGTTGCCCCTGAAAAAAAAAATTGGCGCCTTGTTATTGGCCGGTTGCAATGGTCTTAATCGATCGTAGCAATCTAGTTTGTAATACATAGGCAGGTGGTCGAATAAAATATTGACGGTGTTTTTTGCTACTTTGGTACACAGTTCAAAGTTATTCCAAACATAATTAGCTGTTTTGCTTATTTGAATACATGAAGCAGCAGTATGTCCGAGATATCACGCCTCAGCGCCACGCAGGTGTCTACGCCATCGGTGAATTGTGGGAAATTATGTTCCCCCCAAACAAACATAACTGAATCACTTGATCGAATAGAAACAAAAAGACTAAAAAAAGAAATAAAAAAGACAAAGGAAACTGCAGTCTCTGCAGGGGTCACCGTCCTTGAAAGTTGTTAAGCAGCTTCCTCCATTATTATGCAGTATGCG